TGTGAACGTGTTAAGTGTTATAGTACAGAACAGATTTCAACGAAGGATTCAAGGAAGTGTGTTAATTAAGATGTTTATTAACACGTTAAAGAAATCAATTGAGCATCATTGTTTGTTGTTGTTTCCATATCGATGAGATATCCCAAAACGGAAGGAGACCGCACGTGATAGTCCAATAGAGGTGTTGAATTTTAACAACTGCACAGATTGGGCCTATAGCACAGTTGGTAGTGTGTCTGCTTAGCGTGCAGAAGGTCCGGGGTTCAATNAACGAATATGGAATTCATAGTCGTTGAAAGTCGGAGTACTCATTGTGAACGTGTTAAGTGTTATAGTACAGAACAGATTTCAACGAAGGATTCAAGGAAGTGTGTTAATTAAGATGTTTTATTAACACGTTAAAGAAATCAATTGAGCATCATTGTTTGTTGTTGTTTCCATATCGATGAGATATCCCAAAACGGAAGGAGACCGCACGTGATAGTCCAATAGAGGTGTTGAATTATAACAACTGCACAGATTGGGCCTATAGCACAGTTGGTAGTGTGTCTGCTTAGCGTGCAGAAGGTCCGGGGTTCAATTCCCTGTGGGTCCAAGTTTTTTGAGTGAGTCAGCGTTAAATTTTTGGTCGCACTAGTGAATCATCGCTTCAGTGAATATATTCTCTAGTGACTCACTGCAAAACATTCTTTTCTTCCTACTTTTGATTTTCCATAATGGGCATTCAGTACGACGCTACGCTATACTATGGCATCAGATTTGGTTTGGAAGATTTGAAGCATTTGAAAACTAATCCGTTGGTGCTCGAGAAACCTGGGGTTGATTTTGAAGATTGTCTTCTTGAATACTGGTACGGTGAAATTGAAGGAGTTTTCTTGGCAACAGAATCACCGTTTTATGATTGTGGTGCGGAGAGTAGGGAATTCTATGTTGCTTCGCCTGCGCACAAGACTTCTGATTGCTTTACTAAAGAAGAGATTCAGGCTGCTCTAAAAGATGATAAATTCATTGACAGCCTAAAGAGCTTCTGCAAAAAATTTGGTTTGAAGTACCAGGAGCCTAAACTTTACGTCTCCATGGACGTTTGTTGATTGCCAGCTCATATGAAACGCGAATTTGAAGAATCATCTGCGATTTCTCTGTTTCAGTCAATAAATCATACATTTTTTGGCTCCCAGCTTCTTTCAGGTATCCGTAACTGAACATTCTGTGAAATATTTTTAGGTAAAGTAGGACAGATCCGAATGGATGACTAAGAGCAGCGCTTATCTTATAAAAACTGCACACCGTGCCTCGAACCTTTTCTTAATTTGTTTCAACCAGTTTACAAGTGCGCCTTACATCCCCTTTAATATCTTGCGGTGATGAGGTTTTTGGCTTCGAGCGCTTTGGTTTTGTTAACGATCTCTATGGTGACTCATCACTCTGCCATTTTTGTTTTAACTCTGATTTTCCTTAATGGGCATCGACTACGATGCGAAGTTTCTGTACGGTGTCAAATTCACTTTCAAAGAAATCGAGCATTTGAAAACAAATCCGGTTGTAGTTGAAGAACCTGGAGACGATTTTGGATTTTCTCTTTCGGAGTTCTGGTATGGGGAATTTGAGGGTGTTCACCTTTCGACAGGGTCGCCATATTTTGATAGTAGCAAGGAAGATCGTGGCTTTTATGTTTCATCGCCCAAGCAGAAAGATTTTGAGTGTATGGACAAGGCAGATTTTATGGAGGTTTTGAATGATGACGAATTCATTAAAAGTCTCAAGAGATTCTGCGATAAATTTGGCCTGGACTGTAAACAACCACAAGTTCACTCCGTTTTAAATATCTGGTGATAGCGAGCTCTTCTGAAACCGCGATTGTTTGAATCATCGCCACGCAAATTGAGTTTCATTTAATAAATCATAATGAAGCATTTTACGCAATTAGTAAGACTTGATCTATGTAACTGCTTACTTTAAAGAGATCTGTAGTTACCAGAACAGGAACTAATGCTGATATTCCGTCTGGGGCAAGTAAGCAGCCGACGTTTTGGGCAGCTGTCATTGCGGGAGGAGCGATATCATACTATTTTGTTCGCAACTACTTTCAGACATCCACAGCAGAACATTCTAAAGAGGAAATTAAGAAAAAGGCAAACTAAAATAAATAAAGGTTTTAGGGAATCAGTTTATTGCAAATTGTGCACCGTGTCTTGTATCTTCTTTAAATTTGCGTCAGCAATTTCATGACAACGTTTTGCGCCATCTTCAAGGACCCTTTTCAAGTGCTGCTGGTCAGAGATCAGAAGGGTATACTCTTTCTGTATTGGTTTCACATGTTCTGTGATTGCTTCTGCAACAACTGTTTTAAAATGACTCGTGCTTGAACGACCAAACTCATTATTAATCTCTTTTATACTTTTACCGGAAACAGCAGCATAAATATCAATGAGATTACTTACAGCGGGTCTTGCTTCGACATCATACCAAATGCCATCGATCGAATCAGTAACACTTCGCTTGATTTTAAGATGTATTGCGTCTGGATGATCATTAAGCTGAATTCGAGATAATTCATCAGGAGAGCTTTTTGACATTTTCTTTAAGGGATCTCGTAAGTCCTGAACTCTTGGCGTGTTTGAATAAAGAGGTGTTGGAGGATGTAACAGATTCTTTTTGTAAAACTTGTTAAAATTATCTGCGATATCTCTCGTGAGTTCTAGATGCTGCTTCTGGTCAACACCTACAGGTACGTATTCAGCACCATACAAAAGAATATCAGCAGCCTGCAGCACAGGATAAGAGAATAAACCCAAATTACTTCCCATTCCATGTTTTGGAGAGCTCTTTGATTTGCTCTTCCATTGTGTCATTCTATTCAAGTAGCCAAAACTTGCAAAGCACGACAAATACCACGCTAATTGGGCATGTTGAGGAACCATTGATTGAAGGTAAAGCGTGCTCTTACTCTGATTTAATCCACAAGCCAACAACACGGCGCAAGATTTTAAAGTATTTTCCCGAAGCACTGCAGGATCTGGTCTAATTGTGAGTGAATGCAGGTCCACCAGACAAAAGATATTCTGAGTGACACGATCAGTAGCATTTAATTCCATCGAATTATCATCTCCAATATCATTTTGTAAGTGCACCCACTGTTTAATAGATCCAAGATAATTGCCCAGATGAGGTATACCAGTTGGTTGAATGCCAGAGAACACACGTCCTGCTTTTAAAATTGACATTCTGGAAAGTTGAAAGAATCTTTTCCACAATTTCTTTTTGATGCCGAAATACTACTGCGACTATTGCGATATTTATTTAACTCATGACGCTCGAAAGGTTATACGAGACCATAACGATGGATGGAAGCACAAGAATCAAGTAAGAGAATATTATGCAACCTTTGCAAGGGAACAAATGCAGAGTATGATTGATCGGATGACTTTGCCTGGAGGCTTCAGACCAGTTGGGCCTCCTCCCCCTCTGTCAGCCGGTGGTGGTGTTGGTATGCCTCCTGGTGCAGCTGGATTCCCTCGGCCTCCAATGCCTCCACCGCCTCGCCCTGGTCAAATGCCTCCAAATTTCAATCTTCCAGGCGGTATGCCTTTCCCTGGACCCCCTCCTCAGAGACCACCGTTCTTTAATGGAAGGCCCCCACCCCCACCACCGCAACGGAATTAGTTTTAACTGATAAATTGTTTAAAACGGAGACATTTCTCTAATTATAAAAGCATTAATAAATGATTTACGGTACAGCAAGCAGGGCTATGGAAAATATCAGCGGAAAGTGTCACATAAGGATTATATAGTGACTTTAAAGCGATAAGCATACAATTCAAAGCCAAACTAAAAAAGAAAAGCTCGAAAAACAAAAACAGGACGTCAACAAGCGGATTTGAACCGCTGCGGGAAAATCCCAATAGATGATTAGACAGCTGAAGCTATTCAAATCTATCGCCTTAACCGCTCGGCCATATTGACTTGTTATAATGAAAATTCCATCTGAGTTTATAATCATATTTTACTTTGACTGAGACATATAGTGTTGCCTTCAAACTCCTACTACACAAACTCCCTTTTAAATATCATACAAATCTACCTCAGTTGATCGAGACTGCATCGTGTGTTCCCCACTTTTGACTCTTTAATGCTGATCAGATTAAATTCCCACAGATTATCGCTTGTGCGTTCTACTGCGCCTTCACAACTCAGAAAGTTTCATGTGCTCAGCCCTGAGTTGTCTGAGCTCAGAGAGAATGTAAGAGACTTTTGCGCAAAGGAACTCAGTCCAAGAGCAGATGCTGTCGATAAGGACAATAAGTTTCCAATGGACATGTGGAAGAAGTTTGGTGATATGGGGCTTTTGGGCTTAACTGTTCCAGAAAATAATGGAGGCTTAGGAATGGGTTACTTGGCTCATGTTATTGCGATGGAAGAGATATCAAGGGCTTCTGGCTCTGTGGCTTTAGCTTATGGTGCTCATTCGAACTTGTGTGTTAACCAGATAGCAAGGAATGGTAATGATGCTCAGAAGGAGAAGTATTTGCCAAAGTTGATATCTGGTGAACATGTCGGTGCATTGGCCATGAGTGAAGCTGGATCAGGTTCAGATGTTGTTTCGATGCAGTTGAAGGCTGAAAAGAAGGGCGATTATTACGTTTTAAATGGAACCAAATTCTGGATTACTAATGGTCCTCACGCTGATACTCTAGTTGTCTATGCTAAAACTGATTTAAATGCCGGACCTCGTGGAATCACTGCTTTCCTGATTGAAAAAGGTTTCGATGGTTTCAGCACTTCTCAAAAGTTGGATAAGTTGGGAATGAGAGGCTCAGATACTTGTGAGTTGGTGTTTGAGAACTGTAAAGTTCCAGCAAAGAACATTCTGGGAAAGGAGAATAAGGGCGTTTACGTTTTGATGAGCGGTTTGGATTTGGAAAGATTAGTTTTGGCTGCTGGTCCTTTGGGTCTGATGCAAGCTGCTTTGGATATTGTCTTACCTTACGTTCACGAGAGGAAGCAATTCGGAAAGCCTATCGGAGAATTCCAGTTAGTTCAAGCAAAAGTTGCAGACATGTACACCAAGTTGAATGCAAGTCGTTCTTATGTCTATTCAGTTGCATCTGCTATTGATAAGCTTCCAAAGACATCAGCTGATTCTGGTGATCGTTACAAAGAATTCAGGAAAGATTGTGCTGGTGTTATTTTGTATGCTGCCGAACGAGCTACAGAGTGTGCATTAGATGCCATTCAGTGTCTTGGTGGAAATGGTTACATTAACGACTATCCAACTGGAAGGATTTTGAGAGATGCTAAATTGTATGAAATCGGCGCTGGTACATCTGAAATTAGAAGAATGCTAATTGGAAGAGAGTTCAACTTGGCTTACGCACAATAAAGGCTCCTTTTATTCTCGATTTTTAGATTTTAGCGTTTCCGCCACCATTGGAAAGCAAATTTTCAAGTTGCAATTCCAATTGTCTAATCCTAACATCTTTCTGAGCAAGTTCATTCTTCAAACCATCGTTTTCCTTGCGTAAACTGTGGAAAGCATCCTGATACTCTCTTTCGTTTGCAGGGTTCTTCAATGGATCACGAACCTCATTGGAAGCTACAGGAGCCTCAGTGACAAAATCCTTCTTTGCAGAAGCTTGGAATCCCTTCTCTAAGCTGACCAACTTTGGCTTAGCATTGTTTCCTTCGAACCATTCTGCAGAAGTCATTGCAGGTATGTCACCAACGGTATCAGGGAAAATATCAGCCTGGAATTGATCAGATTTACGAGGAACCTTGAAAGAAATTGGTTCAACACGATCAGGATGAACTTTGAACACGCGCGCAACTTCACAGTCGCTAATTGAACATGCACGCTTAGGCAAGAAAGCAATGCCTCTTTGAGGATCGGAGGATTTGTACTCAGACAAGACATGCAAGTAAGGAGCCTCATCAACAAATTCCCAGTAACGAATGTTTCCGTCACCTTTTCCAGCCAAGTACAACATCTTGGTGTCATTGTCAAAGTGAGGAATCAAACCTCCAGAGGCAGTGTCCAAGTTCTCGCACTTGAGTGGCTCAGTCATGTTCTTGGCATCCCAAATCATGTACTGTCTATCAGAAGTCTTTGAGAAACCAGTTGTCAAGATGCGATCACTGTCGCCCAACCAGCAGACTCTTGTTCCTTTGATACCTTGGTGAGTGTTAGCTTCCTGAACAATCTTGTTGGCACGAGGATCGATCAATCTGATCTTCTTGTCCTTGCAAGTGGTAGCAATCAATGAGCCATCATAACTCCAAGTGATGGAGTTGACGATGTCCATGTGACCAGTGATATCTTGCTTCTCGACACCCTTCTGCAAATCGTACAACTTAATGACCAAATCAGCACCAGAACTCAACATGACATTCTCAGCAGAAGGATGAAACAAAACATGGCCAACTTTTCTTGTGTGCTTATCGAAGCTCAATACAGGAGTATTCAAGTTCTCAGTCAAGCCCTTCTCTGGAATAGACCAGATCATAACCTTGCAATCTTCAGCACAAGAAGCAACAATGTAGTCATTGTAAGGATTCCAGTCGGTATCCAAGACAGCCCCAGTGTGTCCAGTAACAAGAGGCATATCGTTTGGCAACTTTCCAACTTGATCATGAGCCAAAACAGCAAATTGACCACCACCGCCGGCTTCCAAGTTGACAGAGATGAACTTTGGGTTGGCCTTGCAGAGATTGGTATCCCAGGCATTACGAGTGACTCTTAGATTCTCATAGCATTGCTCACGCTTGGCTGATGTACCAAAGACATGACCTTTAGAAAGAGAGTTAATCAATCCATTCAAGAGACAGCTCAAGGGGACTTACGATATTTAGAAGCTCTTACAAACTTTGACATTCTGAAATCTTTTCAAGTGTAGCAAAAGAGAAAGCGATCGCAGATTTTCTTTTGGTTTGACGGAAATCTGTTGTTTCAGCCACGATTTGATGCACGCCGCTTATTTTTGCAGGTGCACAACGCTTTTAAAGAGTCTATTAAACGCTTGTCTTTTCCTTATTCATTTCATAAATCATTCTTTCCCATTCGCGCTTAACAGTTTTCTTTTCAACAAGTTCGTACTTCTTATGGATTGCCAAATAGTCGTCTGGTTTGTATCGCTCGACTTTGATCATCTTCTTGCTCTTGTGCTTATTGTAGAACTGTACCAGCTCCTCCTCGAAATCATTCCGTTTGATAGTTTTGACGCTAGCAGGTTGAAACAGACCATCCTGATCAGAAGTTCGACTTCGTTTCCGAGTAGCGTACTGACGAATATTCGGTTCCGAGACAGCCCTTTTAGTAGCAAAATCATCTGAATTTCGTTTTTCCGGAGTTGAAAATGTGCTTTGGCTAAACGAGTTGCTTTTACTCAAGTTTATAAGTGGCTCAAATAGTTCCATGCTGCGCCGTAACATCCAGCCCTTAGCAATACTGATGCTGCCTTTTATCCTGTCTAGCGGGGAGTTAGGGGCTATTAAGGGCTCATTGGTCGTAGTCGCATTCCTTTTCTTTCTAGCTCTCCCAGTCATCTAAGTCAATTGAAACTTTGGCTTGCGATCAGGTCTCGATTTCTCAAAACATTTCCACGCAACGGATTCCGAGATAACGAGTTTATTAGAGTCAATATAAGTATCGTATTTATGGCTCAAAATCACTCTTCCGGAGATAATCCAACATTCCATCTGGCAATAGAACTGATCCATCGTCTTGTAAGAGGTACCGAAAGGGCATATCAACATATTCCTTCTTTCCTATTTTTATAGATGGTCTGTCAGAGAACTTCAATTCATCCATTCTCTTTTGATTATTAAGTATCAAATTCGATACGATTACAGCCGTATCTGCTGTCATTTGCGCTGGGCCTAAATTTACGCATCGTACGCCTTCGACTCTCAGTGCAGACGTTCGATCGACCATGGGGCCCTCGAATTCGTCACATCCCAAAATTCCACCACAAACAAGCATCTCTAACTTTGGTGCATCTTCAGGTGATAGAATATCTTGACCGCATTGGTCCAATAGAGCAATCTTGGATAAAGCTACTCCGAGCTCTGTGTACTTTTTACTAGTGAACGCGACTCCTTTCAAGCTTTCTGGAACTTTTTGCTGTAGCTCTTCAGAAACATTAGTGATTACAAGATTCTCTGCACCAACGTGCTTCATCATATGCCTAACAGTTAATTGAATTATTCACAGGCGTTCTTTACGTGTATTCTAAAATGCACCATTCATAGAGATCATCCTCCAAGTGTTCCACGACAAAAAGCATTCTTCGAAATTCAGAAGAGAAAATCTCAAAAATAGACGGAACCATTTGACTTTGAACAGTCACATTTCCAACATCTTTAGGCATGATATCCAATGATACAAGCAAGAGGGAGCACAAAGATCATATACCAGATCTCATAGAATCATTCAGACAAGTATCAGTTCTTGATAACGCAAAGACTTCAAAAGCATCAGCCTCAAAGTCGTCGCTAAGATATGAAACACCTCCTGCATCACCTCGGAAATATAGGAGGACTAGAGATCTTCCATCTCCTATAAAGCCAGCATCTTTACTACTGGAGCGCAATCGGTGTGATATCAGAATACAGGAATTGGATCAGGAAATACAATGGGAAAAGACATGGCAAAAGATGGTCACCAATAAGACAAGGAAATGGAAGAGTAAAGCGACTGCAGAATTCATAATGGAACAAAACGATCAGAACGTGCCTCAAGAAAGAAAGCAGGTCCTTTTTGATGATATGGAAGATTTGGAAGACAATCTTCGGACATTGGAAGTAAAAGACTAGCGAACGCCAGCAAGACAAATAGAAATATTTTGTTTAGAATACAAAGTCGTTCTCGGCATGCATAGCCCATTGAAACTTTTCCCTCAGAGTCTTTGGGAACATTTTCTCGATTGGAACTTCGTGAGATTTACACCACGCAACAGTTATTCTGGGAT